CTGTGCGCAGCTTCACAGCAACCCCCACCCCGCTGCCACACCCCTGCGCCCCACCCACCCCGCTGCCACACCCCTGCGCCCCCCTCCGGCGGTCCAGGTGGGTGAGGTGCCTGGTGGGGACGCAGATGGTCTTGCCTCACCTTCAGTTTTGAGGCGCTCTGCCTCAGCCGAGTCCTCCTCCGAAGGTGAAGTTCGCTCGGGGCTTCTCAGGTCCCGCGGCACCTCCTGGCCCCAGGGCAAAGACGAGCTAAGGGGCGGCGGGCAACCCTACCACTTCCCTCCTGCTCCAGGGCCGCCCCAAGCTGAGCTCCGACGGAGAGCACCTCAGGCCAGGGCGGCCGGGGCCGAGCCCCCCCCACTTCCCTGTCCGCAAACCGGGAACCACACTCCACGGCATGCAGCCTGGGAGAGTGCGGGCCCCGCACGGGTGCTCCGGAGCCCTCGGCCCACTCGTGCTGTTACTTTTGTTCTGGGAAGCCCAGAGACTCACCCTGCCCACAGCGGCTGCTTCAAATATTTCCGGAAGAGTCTGAGGAAGAGCAAGGTCGTGGTCTTCAACAGTCACCCCAAAAGCAGTCTCCAGGCACTGGATCGCAACTGGGAGGGAGACAAAGGCATTTTCTTCTGAATGCAGCCCAGACTTTAGGACTTTGGGGCTCAGAGGGGGTCCCTCCCCTGAGAAACCCGGGTCAACGGCCTGGCACGTGGCAGGTGCCAAAACGCCACCTCCCACCGTGTCACTGCAGGCTGAGCCAGCTGGATGCCAAGGCGCTGGTGGCGGGGTCCGGCCTGGGCTCCTCGCTACCCCCCCCCAGCCCCATACGGCTTCCAGGTGCTGTGGCTGCCCCTCCCTCTTTTAAGAGAGAGCCTTTCCCCTCTCCTCAGTGGAGTTGCACACATGCGGTGGTGGAGAAGGTTCCGGAACAGCCCCTTGATGGGAAAGATGGGGAGATGACCAGAACACCTGCAGGACACTGGGCCTGAGGTGATGGGGGCTGGCTACGTGTGGCAGGAAGGAGGGAGGGCCTCCTTCATACCTTCCAAGCTCTCCTGGGCGTCGGACGAGAGCCCCCCGTGCCGGAGCTGGTCATGCAGGAACCGGATGATGGCGTAGGCCAGGCGCTTCTTGTTATCCATCTTGAGACAGGAAGAGACAACGCCCTGGGGTTTTCAGGATCTGCGGACCCAAGCCGAGGGCGTGAGGAGCACAGGCGGGGGGCATGGGTGCTGCTGAGACAGTGCCCATGGCACCTGCCACTCCAGGCCCCCTGGACTGCTGGGCCTGGCTCACTAGGCCTGCGCCAGCCCCGGCCCCAAGGAAGCCACTTTAAGCACAAGTGAGGGCGGTTATGACCCCGTTTCACAGATAGACACTGAGGCTCCTGCAGGCGGGTGGAGTGTTCCCAGCCATCCTGCCTCCTTACTCTAAAGAAGGCCACATGGCCTTGGCTGTCACCACCCCTTCCCAGATTCAATGGCACACAGGGACTCCCAGGGACGCAGAGGACCGGCCCGCAAGCGCTAGTCCTGCAGGTCTACAAACCCCAAGTTCTAGCTAAGCACAAGCCAGACCCCAGTCCCACCTGCTTCTCCACTCAGATTGAGAAAACAACCTGACAGTTCTCCAGGTCCTGATACCCCCGAGGGACATGAGGGGGTTGGACAAGTATCGTGGGGGGGGGGCAGGAGACAGAGGGGGGCGGGAGGGGAGGGGCCCAGAGTAGACCAAAAGGCCCCAGAGGCACCGAGCCCTTTCCAGGCCGTCCAAAGGCCTTCTCTGGGTCCCTCTGCTGTGTGCTGGACTCCCAGGCCAGGAGTGATCCTGCCTCAGGGGCTCTGGGCCATGTCTGGGTACGTCTGTGGTGCTCCTGGCATTGGGCGGACCTGCTGCCCCCGGCTCCCAGGATGCCCACACAACAGAGAACTATCCGGCTCCAGCGTCAGCAGAGGAGAGCCCTGGTCTGGAACATTCTGGGGGTGAGGAGGGTCTGCTACCGGAGGGTCCATGATGGGTCAGGCACGTCACAACACCGTCTCATCCCCCTCCGCACCATGAGCTCCACGGCCGCTCCCACTGACAGAGGCAACAGGTTGGGGTGGGGGTCTGGGAGTAACAGCTGGCCCAAGGCTGCTCAGGTCCACCTGCACAGCTGGAACCCGCAGCAGGAAGCACCTCGGTCTCCCGAAAACGCCTCCAGTGGGTGAACAGACTGTGCCCCATAGAAAATGAGGAGCGGTTCTCCTGACCACATTCTCATGAACCTTTTACCAACCACAATGGTTAAACGACGCCGGGAAGAGTCCATCATGTAGCCCCAGGCTCTCCACCCTGAGATGGGGTCAGTATGGGGCGGGGTGGGGTCGCCGCCACTGGACAAGGGCAGTCAAGACGCTCGGTGCTGGCCGTGTGCAGAGCTCGGTCTCTGGTTCCCGGGAATCTACGTCCATCAACAGCTGCTTCTTAAAGTGAGGGAACCAGACACAGAAGGCCACACGGGGTGTGATTCCACGTGTGGGACACGTCCAGAACAGGTTCATCCACGGACGGGAAGGGGGCTCGTGGGGGCTGGGGTACTGGGGGAGAGGTGGGGAATGATAGCCGATGGGTACAGAGTTTCTTTTTAGGGTGATGGAATGTTCTAGACTTAGAGAAAGGTGCTAGTTACATAGTGTGAATATACCAAAGTCCACTGAATTCTAAGGCATGTGAATTATATTTCAATCTTAAATAAGGGAGAAACTTAAAACACCTGTGTTCCATAAAGCAGGCGAAGTAATTAAAACTCTTTGAGGATGGTAATGAGCTCCCCATTTCTGGACACAAAGCCCCTTTATCTAGCAAGTGCCTTTGGTTGGAGAGCCTCCCTAGAACTGGAAGGTCTGCGATCAGGATGGGCTAGTGCCCAGAGGTCAAATGGCCAGTCCCAGACCACAGGACCTTAGGGGCGATAGTGGGGCCCACAGAGATCAACCACCACAACCCACTCGTTCTGGGGGAAGCAAAGCTCCAAAAGGTGAGTCCTGGTCCCCAGCTGAGAGGGTATAGAGAACAAACCAGTCAGCCTGCTGACCACCAAACCTAAGGAGAACAGACTAAAATGTCAAATTGTTTCCATTTTAGATATGTTTCGGCAGTGGCATTATTTACAACAGCTGACGCGTGGACACAACACTGGCGTCCATCCGTGGATGAATGAATAAACATGGTGCAGTCCATCCACACGCTGGAACATGATCCTGCCTTAGAAAGGAAGGGACCCCGACACCTGCCACGACGTGGAGGGACCCTGAGGACACCGGGCTCAGTGAGAGGAGCCAGACCCAGAAGGACACATCCCACAGGACCCCACTCCCAGGAGGTCCCCAGAGGAGTCCCGTCCACACAGACAGAGAGGAGAGGGTGGGAGCCGGGGCTGGGGCCGGGGGTGGGGAGTCCTTGCTTCATGGGGACAGAGTCTCCGTGTGGGGAGATGGAAAGTTCTGGAGACGGAGGGTGGGGGTGGCTGCAGGACAGGGTGAGTGTGCTTCATGCCGCGGAGCTGTGTGCTTAGAGACGGTTACGACAGTAAATTTTGTTATGTATATCTTATCAGAAACTAGAATTAGGCACCTGGGTGGCTCAGTTGGTTAATCATCTGCCTTCGGCTCAGGTCATGATCCTGGAGTCCCAGGATCGAGTCCCACATTGGGCTCCCTGCTCAGCGAGGAGTCTGCTTCTCCCTCTGACCCTGCCCCCTCTCGTGCTGTCTCTCTCTCTCAAATAAATAAAATCTTTAAAAAAATTAGAATTAGGGCGCCTGGGTGGCTCAGTTGGTTAAGCGACTGCCTTCGGCTCGGGTCATGATCCTGGAGTCCCGGGATCGAGTCCCACATCGGGCTCCCTGCTCGGCGGGGAGTCTGCTTCTCCCTCTGACCCTCTTCCCTCTCGTGCTATCTCTCATTCTCTCTCTCTCAAATAAATAAATAAAATCTTTAAAAAAAATTAGAATTAGAATTAATTTCTAATTAGGATTAAAAAAGTTTTGTTTTCTTTTGTTTTCGAAGTCTGAGGCCCTCCCCTTCAGATGTACAGTCCCAGGACCCTTTGTATGTTGTGTTCTACGCCAGGCCCTGAGGGTCACGTCTGGGCAGCTGCCTGTGGAGAACGAATCTTGCCTTAAGTCACGTAAGCACCTACACCCCACCTACGGGTTCCAGGCACCACTTCTGAGCCTGGTTCCCCTCCCCGCCCGTGGGTCACTCACACTGGGCTTTGTGTGTGCACACGCGTGTACGGGAGGACAGGGCTTGGTCTTCTCTCCCAGGGAATGAATGCAGGTCTTGATGGTGATGTGTGCTCACTTAAGAGTGGACTGAGAAAGGAAATCTGGTCTTTGGCAGACATTTCCTGCCCTCCTGGTCCGAGTGGTGAAGATGGGGGGAGGGGAGTGTATGAAGCTATTGAGGTTCATGGAGGCAAGGGTTCAAAAAACTAAAGACCAAGTCACGCTCCTTTCTGGAATACTTCCAGTCCTTCCCATGCCCTCAGATCTTGGAGCCTCAGGGCATTTGCACATGAGGATCCCCTGCCCCCAAAGGACTTGAAGCACCCTGGCCTGATTTCCCCAGCATAAGCTCTCACTGCCTGCTTCCTGGGCTTCCCGTGGTCTGTTGCTTGGTCTTCTCTCAAACGCCGGCCCCTCCAATGCAATTCACTGTCAATAAGTCAGAGTCCTCTGGAGCCTGCCCTGGGCCTGGCATAGTGAAGATAGGCCACAGAGGCCTGATTTGCCTGGGTGGACAAGAGCCTGGAGTTCATGTCTTAGGTCTAGCCATTTTTGCCTGAGGCTGGTTCCACGTCACCTTCCCCACCCTAAGCTAAAGAATGCTCTTTGTCCCACCTCAAAGAGTCGCAGCCAATACCCTCATTTTTCTCTTCTATAAAATGGGGTAACAGAGGTGTCCTTACCAGCTGTTACAAGAATTCACGACTTAATGTAGAGTTTTTCTACCTTGGCACTATCGACATCAGGGGCTGGATCATTCTTTGCTGGGGGCGGGGGCGGGAGCTAGCCTGTGCAGTGCAGAGTAGTAACAGCATCCCTGGTCTCTGTCCAGTGTGCCCTGAAGCAAGGGGCAGAATCTCCCCCCCCCGGGGTGAGACCCTTGGGTCAGGGGGTTTCACTGACCCCCAGGAGACTGCGCTCTCTAACCATCTGACTCCTGAGGTCCTAGGATGCTGCACACATTGAAATACACACACTGAGTCAGAGGGAGAGAGGGGGTGACTCACAGACGCTAGGGTCGCCCTGGCCTGTACCCTCTGACCCCGGGGGATTTACTCTGGTGTCCAGCGTGACAAGGGACCAGACTCAATTTTTCCAAATCATCATTGCAGGGTCTCTCCCACTTGGCCCTAACATTAGAGGCAGGTCACTCTCTGTGGGGGCGTCCTGAGCACTGTAGGGGTTCAGCAGCATCCCTGGCCACACCCCTTCAATGCCAGGGGCACCCCTCCCCACAGTGGTAACAACCACAGATGTCCCCAAACATGGTCAAACCACCCAGCTGAAAATCACTGAAACTCCAAGTGAGAAAAGTAAGGGCTCTAAATCAGTACAGGTCAGATTTTTCTGGCCCAAGAACTTTGCTGCAAACTTTCCGTTTGCACATTTTAGGCTTCAGCCCTGCAGCAGAGGGAGCCTGGGTCCACAGCCGAGGACTATGTCCCCAAGGTGTGAGAAGGAACCAGCAAGGCATTTGACACAGGCGGTCCACAGAAACTCTTGCTTCTTTGCGAGATAGTTTGTGAATCTTACTTCCACGTATGGCTTTGGAGATAAATCACCTTCTGCTCTCCACAAAGCTGGGCCCAACAAAACACGAAGACAGCACTTTTCCTCGACTCCTACCAGGCACCCGGACCCTTCTGAACAATCACAACTTGTAGGGTTTTGGCTGCTGGACAAAATTCTCAGAGAAGGCCTACTCTCTGAACAGTGAGTGCTTTATGAGCTCTCAGAAAGCACCGCCGAGGTGCCAGCCGCACAGGGTGCCCGGCAAGCCTGGTAAGGGTGGAGTGGGGGTTCCTGGTGCCAGCTCCTCCGGTGGTCTTCACAATCCCTCCCGGCTCTCAGTCCACCTTTTCGTTTCCACATTTAAACACAAAAACAAAAACAGCCTCTGCTTCTTTTATTTCCCTGCCCAGAACTGGTCAAAGGGAAAAAAACGGCACGCCTCACTAAAATGAGCGACCTCTCACCCGCCTCGGACGGTGGAGCGCCTGCTGCTGAGGGCTGCCTGCCTCCATCCTGAGCCCGGAGCTCTGCTCACAAACAGCAGTGTGTGAAGCCTGGGCTCTAGTCCTCTCTCTCATCCTAGCACGCCCCTGGTGTCTGAGCAAGGACTGTCCCGAGGCTTGAGCCCATGACCCCCATCAAAGCCTGTTTCTTCTAAAATGCCTCCAAAATACTCTGCATGCTTAAAAACCATCAAATGCTTCCTGAAACTTCATGTGTGTGCATGGGACGCCTTTCACCAAACCCTCAGTGGTTCTGCTCAAACACAACTGCTCACCTTTCCTCCAACCCACCTGGAAACTCTTAATTCCTTTCAACACTGAGCTGCAAAGATATCTCAGACAGAGCTAGATGCCCGTTATTTTCTGGCAAAGTCCAAGTACCAGCCTTATCACCAGCCCAGAAGGCTTTACAACTGTCATCCGTCTCCCGCCCTCACCCGGACTGTGAGCACTGGACAGACATCTTCCCTTTCAACTCCAGCACTCAGCAGTGTCTGCTCCACATGGTCTTGGGAAAACATTAGATCCCTGTCAAATTCAGAGCCACCTGACCAAGTTCTCTGGGAAGACCAGAAGAGACAACAAACCTTGGGTCTTGGCTACCTACCAACAATTTCCTTTATTCCTTCAACCCCCTCGCTGAGCATTTCCCACAGGGGCTAGTGTTGGGTCTTGGTTGAAAAAAAAAAAAATTGGGGCGCCTGGGTGGCTCAGTCGTTGAGCGTCTGCCTTCGGCTCAGGTCATGATCCCGGGGTCCTGGGATCGAGCCGTGCATTGGGCTCCCTGCTCGGCGGGAAGCCTGCTTCTCCCTCTCCCACTCCCCCTGCTTGTGTTCCCTCTCTGGCTGTCTCTCTGTCAAATAAATAAAATCTTTAAAAGAAAATGTAGGCTCAAAGTTAAGACTATAGCTCACAATCTGGGGCAGAGCTTAACCCCGTTTACAGTTGCTCACCCCTCTTAAAAGACTGAATTATAAGCCTCAGGTGAAATCCTTGGCGTGCTGAGCGGTTTCCAGGCCCCGAGCTCAGTGCAGTGCATGCAATCACTATGGAGGGGATCAGTGATCATTTTCTGAAAAGGGCCACAGGGCTTCTGTGGAAACCACTCAACTTTGGTCTTGTGCAAAAGCAGTCAGAGGTTTTGTGATGGACTGCGCCCACAAAACTTCATTTGCTGAAACAGGCTGCAGCTGGGATTTGGCCCCCTGCTCACAGTCAGCCGAGTCCCTGGGTTGTTTATGCCAATCCCCATTGTACAGAAGGAAAAACTGAGGTTCAGAAAGATGGGGGTGCTACCAGAGGTCATCCAGCTTAGAGGACACAAACCAGGAATTTTGAGCCCAGCAATCGGGACTCCAGAGCCTCCTAAACTCCGAAGTGCCCTTTCCTCTGCCCACAAAACCTGCACGTTTTCTTGAGTTCATACCCCACCCCCTTGCGCACAGCTCATGCCGGTGAAGAAGCACTGGTCTAGAGGAAGGTTTAACTTCCCCACTGTGGACACTGTGGACGGTTCTCCGTGGGGAAGTCCTGGGCACCGCCAGGTTAGGCAGCATCCCTGGCCCCCACCCACTTGCTGCCAGGAGTACACCCAGTCGTGGCCACAACAAATGACCCCCAGACATTGCCCTGTGTCCCCCAGGGCGATAAGACCACTGGTCTGGGGAGAAGAAAAGCAGACAGACCAATCAGAGATAGAAAACCAAAGGAAACGGAACATCCTGCAGACTGCACACGTTTTCTGACACCTAATAAACCAGCCATTCTCTAGTAAACTCTTAACAAGCAGAAGGAACCTGAGCAGAGAATGTTCTGCTTATTTAACTTCACAGAGAGCCTAGGAAGCACGTTCTTCTAGGACCCCTGTTTTAGAAGAAAAGCGCTGCTCAGAGAGGGAAGCGATCTGCCCCAGCTCACACAGCCAGTGAGAGGAGGTGGAGCTGGTCCTCAGCCCCAGCTCCTTCCCACTTCTAGCACAACCGACAGAAGACCCGAACTGTGAAAGACCTAACAGCCGCTATCAAGCTCTCACTTTGCGGGGGGCCCTGCCGCTTTAATCTTCCCAATACCCCCACCCCCTACCCCACTCAATCTGGCGAGGACCGTGACGACGCCCGTTTTACAGCGGGGCAAACTGAGGCTCCGGGAAGCCAAGAGGCTGGCCAGGTGGAGAGTGGCGGCTCTGGGACAGGACCCCGACCTGCGCCCCACGAACGGGGTCCCCATTCAAAGGGACTGTGTTTCCGGGCAAGAGAAGACACCCTCATTGCTTGCGGGACATTTCCACCTCCCGCTGTCCACGCACGGGCCTGCGAAGCAGCATTTCCCGGGCCTGGGGAGGTTGACCAGGGCCGGCGAGGGCCTGCCCGACGCCACCCTTCCTTAGTTTCCCCTTCGCGCCGCCCACTCACAGCAGCCAGTGGATCGCGGCGACCCCAGCCCCAGACCAACCTCTCCTTACGGGCCCTGGAGCCCCGGGAGCTCCGAGCCGCGGACCCCAAGCACACCCGGCACAACGCCTGGCACCCACACCACGACTCACCTCTCAGGCGGCCGAACGCCGACCCACCGACGGCTGCGCCTGCGCACCGCGGCGCTGCCCGGCCCCGCCCCCGGCCGCGACGCCTGCGCAGAAGGCGCCGACTCCCGTTGAGTTTTATTTTGCGCAGGCGCGTTAATTATCGAGGTGGGCGTGGGGAAAAGTGACGTAACTTAGAGGTGGGGGCGAGCTGGTCGTTAGGGCAACTGACCTCTGCGACCGAACGGAGGCCGGAAATCAGGACCGATTTCCCCTCTCGAGCGGGAATGGAGCGGTGCATGGTGGGACGGTGGCGGACTCCGGCGCGTTCCGCAGAACCGGTCACGTGGCACGAGCCGGCCACGTGGTGTTGCTGTGTTCGGGTATCCGGCGCCTGGAGCCCCAGAGGCGCTCTGTGAATGGGAGCGACTGTTACCCGCAATCTTTTACACTTACTCACCCACACATCCACCCACAAACGCATTCTTTCATTCATTCAACGCACAAGACGTAAAGGAACACAGACATATATGTTTAGAGCAGGTGCCTAATAGCCAACAAGTATTTACTGCAAACCAACTGTAAAAACCAGGAAAGCGTTCGCTCCCATTACCTTGTACTGGGGTCGACGAACTACAAACTAGTACACTAGGACGTAAACGAACCCTTTTCACCTGATGGCAAGCTCTATAAAGAAAAAATGGCGTGCCGGGACTATGATTGGGGAGGCAGGTGGGCCGGGATGGTTAGGGAAGATCCACCTTGTCGAGGTGGATTTGGAGGATGTGGGAAAAAACTCCAAGTACGGAAAACAGCGAAAATGAAGATGAAGTAGGATAAAACTTGGTGGGCTTAATAGAGGGTGAGTGATGAGGAAGTTCCCTAGGATGACTCACAACTGATCACCGTTAGTGTTGAAGTTGCAAGAAGTGTTCTCCTAACTCACTTTTATCCTATTTAAAACGCATGCATGTTTAAAGCCCGGTGTTCTTTAATTTCCTTTGCAGAAATAAGGGGAGTGGGTTTTTTGGCCATTTTAGGTCTAGTAAATTTTCCTCCCTGGGCCCCTTACTTCAAGATTTAGTTTGTTTTAATGGACTTACAATAGTTATAGGTTAGAATACTGCACTGTTTAAAAACACCTGTTGTTTGAAGTCCCGGATTCATTTACTGAAGCTTTCTCGATTTTTTTTTTAAGCTGCCTTTAATTTAATTGATTCACCGGATTCTGCTGATATGTATCCCGCCTATATTCGTTCGATGCTAGAAGTTGGGTAGGATGCTGGTTGGGATAATCTACAAAAAGCGCCTGAGATCTGGATGGTAAGGGGTTCCCAACGTGACGCCCTCAGGTGCGGGAGAAAACCTGCAAAATTAGCCCAATACAGTTATAAAAGTAGAAAGGGGGCAAGCACAAATTAATACGGGAGCTAAAAGCTCAGGCAGAGAAATCCAGGCAGAAAGAACCGCAAGCGCACAGGCTTCCGGGCGCCAGCTGTGTGTGGTTTCCATGGAAACGTCCCTCCCGGGCCTCCAAAGGTTCCGCCCCTGTCGCCGCCAGAGCCAATGACGGGCAGGGAGGGTTCCAGCGCGTGCGTAGAGGGCGTCAGCCTTCCAAAGCACCGCCTCGCGGTGTGGGCGGAGCTGGGGCGCGCGTGCGCCCTGTCCTTCGCCGCACGCGCTCTCCCAGCATTCAGCGGGCGCGCGGGCGCGCGGGCGGCGGGCACCTCAGTCCCAGCTTTTGCGGACCCTGAGCGGGCGGAGGCGGCTGGCCGCGGCAGCTGAGGCAGCGCGACGCGGACCAGGTGGAGGGAGGGGCCGCCGGAGCACACCCGCCCGCCATGAAGCCCCCCGCAGGTACCGGCTGCCCCTCGGAGCGGCCCCGCTCCCCGGACCCGGGCGTCCCCTCCATCCTCGCGCCTCCCGGGGTCGCGACTCGGGCCTAGGAGCCGAGCCCAGTGACCCTCGAGGGGCTGGAGCCTGGGGGGGATGGGTCGGCGAACCCGGGACCCCGCCCCCTCGGCGGCCGAATGAATGAACCAGCTTTTCCAGCGCTCCACTCATTCAGCCAATTCCGAGTGTGTGGCTTCCACTGAGCACTGGTCGGGCCCTGGGGGCGGACTCCGGGGGAGACCGTGAGTTCTAGGCGGAGTTGCAGAGCCCGAGACAGGCGTTCATCCCGCAGAGAAGCGAGCCTAAAGCGGGCTTTAGGGAGTGGTCGGTGATGGGGCTGACGGCGCTTCTCTCGAGAGGGCGCTCCCTGAGGGGCTTCTCGGGGGAGGTGGCCTGTCAGCCCGGGCCCAGCGGGGGAGAAGCAGCT